GGGCGCCCCCTCCCCCTGTACCGCCGCCGTTCCCGGGGCCGTGCGGGGCTCGAGGCCGAAGGCGGCGGCGCGGAGCCCCGTCCCCGCTGCTCACCTGCCCCCGGGGCGGCTCCTCCTCCCGCCGCGGGCCGAGGGAAGAGGCCGCCGCGCTCAGGCGCCTCCGCGGCGGCGCGCGGGGGGCGGGAGGGCGCCTGGCGCCTCCCCGGGATCCACCTCCTGCCGCTCCGCGGCCGGGATCGCTGCCCTGCTCCTGAACGGCCGTGTCGGTTGTCGCTGTGGGAATCCCATCCCGGACAGAGCTCGCTCTGTGCCTGAGAAACCGGCTTTGGTGAAAAACTAGATCCTCCGTCACCTGAGGCRGGTCTCAAGCGGCAGGGCTTCCTGTGGGAATCAGTCTCATGAGGGCCCTGTGTAATTCTAGTGATTATATGCACTTATTTTCAAGATTATGCCCAAAAGTGAGGTTCATATAAATAAGTGAGGTAGCAGGACCTTCTCTTTTCAGTTACCAAAGCAATAGAGGCCATCTGTATACTTGCTATATCTCGTATAATAAACCACACGCTTTCTTAGCCTGCCTCGCATCCCATTCTTTAAATATAAATATATAACGCAAAAAGTTGCCTATCCCTCTGCACCAACTGCCGGTGCTGTTTCCTGAGGCATTCCCCTCATCCTTGCATATTGGCAGCCACTGACTGCGGAGTGTCCCGTGGATGAGGGTCCCACGGAGCCGTGATTCCCTTCCTGGCCCATCAGCTGGCTGTCAGGATGCACGTTGCACTGCAGGCTGCATTCAGCCTCCCATGCAYGCAGCCCAAATGCATCATAATCTGCAGAATGTGTGATTTGCTGGCTCATTCACCTGCTTCTTTCATGATAATTGAAGTGTTTTTAGCTAAGAAAGCTTTCTTAATTGGCCCTCAGAACAAGTCTCTTCGTGGTCAATTGAGATATTGCTGATCCTTTAGTGCATATGCTAAGCGTATGGATATTTTTCTAAAAGTAATGCGCCCTTTACTACGGGGAAGTGCTGTGCATGAACAGGTAGTTCCATTCAAAAGTGCAGATTAATACAGTGAAGGTCACAAATGGAGAGGCAGTGTGTGTAGATTTGCAAGCACATTTACACGCTCTGGAAAAGTCACCGAAGGATAGAGGTCAGCCAAGATAAGTGAAAATGTGATGCCAGGGATGAAGAAATGAAAAAGTCTTCTGCTGATTCTTGACTGCATAAAGAGTGATGAATAACAATGAAGAGAGAATTTCCCTCCAGTAATTACTCCTATGAGACTAGTGGGTCGCTGCATGTAATTCTACTATTTATATTGATAGAGAAGTTGGAATAGGTGGAGGAAGACAGGAGGAGGAAGAGGAGGAACAATAACAATAAAGAGGAACAGTAGTTTGAAAAAGAAAAGATTAAGAGGTKATCTGTTTAGTTTATTAAAAGCACATTCAAGGGTGATGACAATTTCTAGGCCCCTTGCAAGAAGGAAATTTAAGGTACTGAGTGGCATTTTAATTTAATCAAGAGAGTTGTAACAAGAAGCAATGAGAGAAATTAAAGCTACAGAAATTCAAATCAGAAATGGAACACAAATCTCAGAGAAGGAAAGTGCAAAGTGGTTTCTATKTATTGATGCTTTCAAAACAGAAAGTGATCCAATTATTCCAGGTTTTTCTTACATGCTGGCGTTTCTGCCTCTCTCATTTTCTCTCTCTCACTTGAGCTGTCTCCAGTTCATTTTTTCTTCTCTCCAAAATACCTTTCCACAATGCCTAAAGCCAGATTAAGATTTCAACAGCACTCAGTGGAAGGAAACACGTGCCACTTTTCTCATCTTACCTACAGTGCTCTCTTTTTGCTATTATTGGTCTCTTCTTATTCTCACTTTTTTTTCCCCCCTTCTTCTTCCAATATAATGTTGATGCCTACAGTTCCAAGCTTTGGTTCCCTTTCTTCATTTATTTACTCTTTAAAATTGTGCATGCCATTTTCTTCTCATTGGTCTTAGGAAGAATGCATGTTAGAAATTGACCCAATTTCCTGATTAACTAGTGAATCAAATTTTTATTTTGCTTTACTTCAGCAGGATTATCTTGTGCACTTGCAAAAAATATAATTAGAAATTAAATAAGAATATAGCAGAGATCGTAAACAGAGTTGTAAGTCAGTGAACTGACAGTCCAAGCACCAAAGTACTCCAAAGCCACAAGATTTCCATTATTTAGTACTGTATCTTGAAAATGAAGGTTTTTGGGGGGTGAAGAGGTGATACCAATCGGAGTACCAGTTCAATACAGCAATTGCATATTGGGATCTAGGTTCTCCAAGCAGGGTCCACCTGACATTGTGGAAGATGCTCTCTGCAACCCTGCACCCAAGGGTCACRCTGGGCTACCCTGACCCATAGCAAAGTGCTGCAGTTAATGGGACTCTGCAGTCTGAAGCCTCCCAGGTGGGAGGCTACAGACACATGGTGGGTGTTCTTGGAGATGATGCTTTCCAGTGACTACAAAACAGAAAATCAGTGCACATAATAGCTGAGTTCTTCTCCAGGACTGTATAGTTTCGGGAAGAAAAGGAAGGACCTAGTTCACATAGATATTCTGGATGGGAAAAATTGTGCATGCAAGCACTTGGCTTACAGTATTCAACCTGCTGCACCTTGGTGTTATTGTGGTATCAGAAGGAGAAGGAGGGAGRATTCACTCCTGAGGGGCAAAGGAAGCTGAAGGGAGAAAATATATAAAGAGAAGAACAGCTATTTTTCAGAAGATTCAGTTGGTGAAGGGAGAAGATATGAGGTAGTGAGGATACTTTCAAAACCATCTAATAGAATGTTTGCAGCATCTAAGTCGTAGCTCCATGTGTTCTTTCTTTGTTTTCTCTTATCACTTCTAAGGTGCCCTCCCATAGTAGCATCCAGAACCAAAATCTTTCCCCMCCCCATCTTGAACTTCTGCTAATTGGATGCTCAAAATCGTCTACAGAACTTCACAACATGGTGTTTCCAATGCTGGCTGCAGTCATCGGTCCAGCTCAATCAAATAAAGTTAAGAATAAACTATACTCACACTCAGAAGTATTTGAAGTATGGGAAAAGCTTTCTATGCTTCACAAATGACAAGAAAAGTTCAGACTGTCATTTGTGACAAGACTTGTGACAAGAACATGAGGTTTTGTAGGTTCTCACTCAATAAGTAAAATTTCTGTATTTAAACCCAAATACTGTGTGCTGGGCATAGATGCCAAAGTTAGAGATATGTTTTGCTAAACTCAGTTGCAAAACAAAGATGCCCACCAAGTATTAGTTATGTTTCTCCTCAGAGTCTATCAGTAGGAGGAAAGCGAGAAAGCAAGAAGTCTTTTCAGGTCAAACTAAGATCTGCTTCTCAGTAACAGGGTTCCCACTGCCTGTGTTAAGCTTTTGGGTGATGACATTTCCATTATGATCACGACTGCAGAGGAAATGACTTTTGTCTGCAGATTTATTAGCACTAGAGGCCCACTTTAACCTTTAAAGAAACAAAATAATGGGAGTGGGAGGCAGATGTAGGCTGATGAGTTCTGTCAGTAGGTGCAAGTCAAGGGGAAATTGAAGAGATTAAGGGCTGAATTTATATGAAACTTTTAGAACTGTAGATGAGAGAACAACTTAAAATGTTGTTCTTAAAATGGAGAAAACAATGAGCCCCAATGAGCCCCAGTTTCCAAAACACACATTTTTAATGAGAGCTCTTCTTTTGAACAAGGTCAAAAAAAGCAATTGAAATGTTTTAATGTGCTTTGGCATAATTATGTTCTTGAYGATAAAAAGAGTCTTAGTAGGTAAATCCCAGGGAGATCCCACGGGTGGATGGTGGGACCCAAGAATTTTCAAACTTCCAAAGTCTACTTCTGCACCCTGAGCACATCTTCTTCACTGCATGTCAAGGCAAGACTTGGGCATGATCCAACATCACTTTCAGCTTACCTTACCCTTCCACTCCATGCTTTGGTTTCTAGGAGAAGGACAGTTAGCCCATGGGCCAGAGTGCAGAGGATCCTGTTCTGATCAAGTCTGTGATCAGGAAAATGGAGAGAGGAGCCGCTAGATTCCAGTTTGGTGTAGAATTTGGAAATGGAGTGGGAGTTGATGAATAACATGCACCGTCCTGTGGTGATCATTTGGATCACCATAGCTGAAGAAGTTCAGAGCAGGTAAGGGCAGCAATAACCAGACTTAGTGGGCCTCAAAGTTCACCAGAGGTTGGCATTATGACCTCCCTTAGAAAGGAGAAGAAATTGTGCATCAGTGCAGAATAAACACAGAAGACTTAGAATATGACCAAGCAAGGATCTTGGCCATGAAGTCATGGAAACTGTAGAACATTTTCTATCAGCAGGGAATTTGAATGTAAAGCTGGTTCCTCAGGTGATGTTGGGATAAAGCAGGCCCCATGAGAAATGTATTTGTGTCAAATTTATCATTTGCAGGCAGATTTTGGTTGTCATTTATGAGATGATCTGTTATAGAAAATGAGGTGTGAAGGATTTAATCCAGATCTGCCTGGATTACCTTCTCAGTGTCACTGTATGTGGAGAAATAAGTGGACAATTGTGGGCACATTTGTCCATTTGTGTGTGACTTTTTAAATCAAAGGTGAKGGGATCCTGAAATTGATAAATCGTAGCTGGACCTTCTGGAGGACCCTTCCGCTTCCCAGAGCTAATACCTTTAACTGGAGAAGCTGACAATGAGAACCAAAGAGTACCTATGGTTTCAGTGGATCTAATGAACATTTTATTTTAACAAAATGGTTTGCACGGTTAAGTAACTTTATCTTGACTGCCAGATTTTTGATATGTTTTTCCTCTCAAATTGTCCAACATCTAAACAATCCTTAAGACTCTCATTACAGAGCAGGCCTTAGTTCTACCCTGTTTTGTGCTCTGTTCTTGCCTTGTTAATCTGCGCTTTATTAATCACCTACAATTATAAATTAATATACAGTCATTAAAAATTACAATACTATACATCCATGAAACTAGCAGTGCTAGCTTTTCTGGAGTTCTTTTTGCATCTAACCTTGTAATTTTGCTTATGCCACTATATTTCTGCTGTGGTTGGCAGG